CCTAAGTTTAGTAGCAAATTGCTTTTTGGGTAGCCTTGCGCATTGTTGTATTGTAACCTTGCAATAGTTTGCAAACCTAAGTGGTACAAAATTCCTCAGAACTTTATATCATGTATAAATAGTATTTCTAATTTTTCTTAATAATTTGAAGTAGAAAAACTGTTTGTACTACTTCTGATGCTCAATATAAGATCTGATCGATTAATTTGAAAAAATTAAAAAGTTACTAAATTACTTTAACTATTTATCTTTATTATTTTTCTCTAAACTAATGTATCTCATTTATAAATTGATATATATAATATAATGATATACATACATATTTTAGATGGATCATGTGATATATGTTATAATTAACTACTTTAACATTTTTTTTAATGTTTTAAAATTAATCAACTAGCTTTTATATTAAGAATTGAAAAAAATATATAACAAAATTTAAGAGAGATTTTATATAACTTAACTGATATTCTCTAATACGCTAGTATTTAGTAAACCAGCAATGACTCTCATGTGCAATGCACGGGAAGAATTCACTTCAATGTAATTAATAGTTTTAATTTGTGTTAACGGTGATTGCAAATGAAAGAGTAAATTGAAATAAACTCTCTTCTTTTTCATACAGAAAGGAAAATGACTATTATTAGAAGGATTCACGTCCGTTCAAGGCATTAGATGCTTTTGATTTGGATTTGATATGCTCAATATTTTAACAATCTTACAAATTTAATTACTAAGATGAGTAAAACAATGAAAAGATATTGAACAATCCTGTTTCATTTGTATGTGCATTAAATAAGGGACCAGTTAATTTTGGTTTTTGAAATCTGTGTTTCTAGAAAACCAAAATGCTTGCCATACAAACTGGATCAGAAATAACATAAAGCTGCAGAAACAAATGACAAATCAGATTTAGGACATAAGCAGATCCTGTAAAAGATTATAAATACTCAAGCTATAGATCCTGGTAGGCCGAATCCAATCCAAAAATTTAGGGGATATCTGTCACAATTCTACACTCATCATCTCTCCTCTGTAAGAACACAATATGAGGAAGTGGATAATAGCTTCAATATAAATGTGATAATTAGTAAATCCAAGATTTAACAATTATGGCATGAAGAGACGGAGAAGAAACCAAAAAAGCTGCAAACTTAACTTACTCATTGGTCTCATACATTCAAACAGTCATGCGTGGCATTAACTTAGAGATAAAAAGAAAAACAAAACATGCTCATCCAGGAGGAAAAAATGGGCATTAGGAATTGTGGTAATAATAATAGTGTATGAATTTCCAATGGGTCTCTGGTGCCATTCAGATTCATTAATATCACCTGGGCACAGAGGGAGATACTTGTCAATGATGCAAATAACAGACAACTACAGTGATAACTAATTGCAGAGCCATTAACGCGAAGAGAAAAAGCAAAAAAACAGATCATACTCATCCAACGACGTAGAAACCATCCATTCATATCACATTTCTCGGAAGTACTTTGATCCTAGATAGGCCTCCCTTCTCCCGACAACAATGCTCTCTTCTCAGGCATGACCTCATAATATGTGGATTCCAGAACACCCTCATTAAACTAAAGTAGTTGTCAGGGATGAAATTCCTGAACACAATGAAAGATGGAAAATCAACCGCACCAGAATATGTACATGAAGGCAGAATTGCAAGTCACTAAATTGTAAACTCAATAAATAAAAGTGGAAGCTTTATCTTATCAGTGAAAGTATGGATGTTGCACATATTTTACTTCGTTCTTATAGCACCAAGATAGACACGAAGGCAACTTCAATTTGAAAAGCAAATTAACAGAGACATATCCATCTGACGTAGAGAAAATAGGCGCTTTAAAATTCTTCCCATTTGGCCTTCCGTAGTTCTTCATACAGATTGTCCGATCCCCTCCATAATCTTCTGCTTAGCAGACCACAGATGAAACCAAACTTGATGGACTATTCTGTAAACTGACCAAAGAATCCAAACAAAGAAAAGCAAGAATCAACTGATCCTCACCTTCAGCCCAAGACATTGAAAAAGACCCTCCACAATTCAATGGCAATCAACTCTTACATCAACAACAAAGATTGAAAGAGGTCAAGGAAGCCTTTCAACGAAATTGAATTCTCATTATTTGATCACAAGCATCACACTTAAAGGCACTATAAAAGAATTGAAAAGAACATCTCTGCAGGAAAAGTGATGCGAAACCTTCAATACTCGCATCAAGTGTAGATGGAAGTCATTAAAAGGAGAAAGCAAAGAGAATAGAGCGGCACTTCTCGTATCCGTGTCTTCACTTCTCCCTCTGCATTTATTAGTTGTAAACAAGAAGAAATGAAGGAGGAGGAGAAAAAAGGATGAGACAGAGAGAGATTACAATATAGAGGGTGAGAGCAGAGCATATGGGGGAAAAAAATTCTCCCTTGATAAGATGAAGCTCCAAGGAGATTTTTTCCACCTCTGTTGGGGTGGCTTTGGTGAGGAAAAGAAGAAAATGAGAGGGAAGGAGTCAAATCAACAGAGTTTAAATTTTGGATTTGAAGAGTCAAAAATGAAAAGATTAAAGTGGGTAGGTGTAGAATATCCTAACACAAAAAAATGTGACAGCAGGCAGGACAATTACATTGTTGATTTTCTTGCCAAACTGCCTCATAGGACAGAGAGTAACTTTTGTATCTTTGATCAACCTCCACCTCTAAATCTAGAGGAGGAAAGTGATGAGGGAGTATAGCTGTAACTATTTACTTGTTCTAAGTAATGTTATCCAATTTTAATTCAAAAAAAAAAAAAGACAGATAAGAAGGGCCATTTACTGCATCACACAAAAATAAAAAAAGCAGGAGGAAAATAAATGCAATAGCTAAGCCAGTACTATTCACAAGTTGGTAATGTTCATAAAACGATAAATTGAGTGAGGAGCCGCAATGTGATTAGAAATGGCTTAGCTTCATTTTTTATTTATTTAATAGATATACTGATATATTGATATCGATTTGCCATGGCTTACAATCTCTAACTTATACAGGTAAAAAAACAAAAACTTAAAATTCTGATATCAGCAACATCAATTCTGTATGGCAAGGTTATAAAAAGAAAAATCTGATAGGGGAGTATCTGTCCCTTTTTCGCAATTTCTGAATTGAACCTCTGTTTTTTTTTTGGCCAAAATTTTGAATTGAACTTAAAAAATCTCAAGTCGGGATAGCCCAGCCGAGAAGTTACATCCTGGTCTTCGAAATTTCTCCTACACCCGCCGTTACATCTCGTCCAGAGCTCCGATCGTCCTCCAGCGGTATCCTTCGTCTCACTTGTTGCCCTAATTTGTGAGTTCTCTACATTAACCGGCAAAATGGTGTCTGGCTTAATAAATGCTAATCCTATCATCTACGAATAGATTAAGGGAGAGCGCCGAGCTCGCACTACGCCCACCTTCGCTGATGATGATGTTTCGAAACCGATTGATCAACAAGAAGTTTTTGACATCCTTTTCAACCATCAATTTATATATATGTTTTTCGTGCTTCTGCTTATGCAATTTTAAGATCAGTTTGCTTAACATTCTGAAATCACATAAGGAGTATGCAAACTCCTTGGAAGAGTTCAGAGTAATAATCGAAGATGCGGTTGAAGTTGATGATCAGCATAGTTATGTCAGGTATTGAACCGTCGTTTATCTTTCCCCTCTCGCTCTATGGCCTTAATTATGTCTGTCAAAACGTCCTCGGTATTTTGGATTCTGATGCTTTGCGTTAGGGTTACGTTTACTGCTACACTTCAATATTGTGCCCAGTCTCATGCGTCGATGCTTGCGGGTGAAACTCATGAGGAGCCTTCCTTCCTTCTATTGTCGTTGGGCTAATAATCTAATGTGTCGACAAATTTTTTTTGTGGAAAATTGGGTCTTGACTTTTGACTCATGTATGCATTGAAATTCTCGGTATACCATAGTGTTAACGTGGCTTGTCATTAGGTTTAAGAAAAGTGGGAATTTTTCTTGAGTATCGTAGGTTGTCTCTTGCATAACAGAGGACACACACACACACATTTTAATATATAATGATGAAAAGCCAATGTCCAAGTCTGTTGGATGATATAATACTACCAACTGTGCTAACTCCTAGCCACAACCCATGCACCATGTTAATTTCTATTATATGAACTGCAACATGAAATGTGAGAGAGGGGTGTCATGAAATATGACACAGTGGTGTCAGCTGCCCCTGGGATGCTGCCCCCCTCTTCCCCTTAAGTTTGGTTTTTTTTTTTTTTTTAAATTTCCAAATGTTTTGATTGCGATTCTATTTATCCACATAAAATGAATAATATTTTGATATCTTATTTGCAAAAAAAGGTTTAGTTTGTAATTTTTTATGATTTTTCAAAAATATAGCACTCTAAGTTAAAAAGAAATTAACCATTTAAAGTGCTAAATCTTTAAAAAAATCATTAAAAAAATTAAAAACTAAACCATTTTTTGCAAATAAGATATCAAAATGTCACTCATTTTATATAGAATCTAATGATAAAAAGAATTGCAAAACTTATATTTCAAATTTTATTTTTATCCCTTCCTTGTATTATATCACTTCAAATTTTTAATATAAGATTTACTTAACTAATTTGATTAGATTTAAAAAAATTAGTTAAGTTAGTTATTTGTAACAAATATGAGTTGATTTTCCTAATCTATCCTTTTTAATTATAATTACTTTTGATTGAAAACAATTTGACATGTATAGTTAATAGAGACACTTTAGAAAATGAATTACAAATTTTGAGGACACGTACAGTGGATTGAATTTTTATCTTTAGCTCTTATATTAAGAATATTGAAGCTAGTATATATAGTAGGTAATATAAGGGTACTTTTATATGCATTTACGTATACACATGTAATAAACTTGCTCGAGTTTTCCACAGTCAATTCAGGGAGTCACGCACATTTAAATTCAATTAAGTAGGTGCGGAAGCAAGCCATTTCTTTCTTCCATAATCAAAACAAATTAACACAGGCGATCGAATCTAATAATAATTGGACAACAACAACTAAACCTTCATGCGTTTGTTTATTCAGACAAAACAAGACATCTAATAACACACTCTCCTCAAATCAATATGACAGTAGGCTGAGTAATACTGATACAAGGAACATTTATAAATGATTTTGCACCCTTCCAAATCAACTCTCATCAGCACTAATTAATTAAGCAGCTATTTTTCTTCCCCAAAATCTCGAATCATGCATATGTGGATGCAAATCTCTAAGAGGTTGGCTTCATCATTGTGTTGCCAATGTCAATCACAAAACGATACCTGACATCAGCTTTAAGGAGTCGCTCTATTGCAGTGTTAACGTAATCCATTGGAATCACTTCTATGTCTGGTCTCACGTTATGCTTGGCTGCAAAATCTACCATCTCTTGCGTCTCCTTCATCCCTCCAATTCCACTTCCGGCCACTGTCTTCCTCCCTGCCAATACATACATATATATGTTGTTAGAGCATTTCAATTTCCCCTTTCAATCAATAACATTCTTCAGTTTATTATTATTTAATCATGTTCCACTTATACTCACCCGAAAGTAAAGGAAATACTGGCAATTCCAGAGGCCTCTCAGGCGCACCAACCAACACAAGTTTGCCATTCGGCTTCAGTAGACCAATCAAAGGCAAAAGAGCATGCACTGCAGAAACTGTGTCTATTATGCCATCAAATGTGCCCATCGCAGCCTACACAGATATATACCAACAAACATGACAATGATTAATTAGATGAACAAGGTCTGATATCTATATGTGTGTGTGTGTGTGTGTGTGTGTGTGTGTGTGTATTAACATATATATATATTCACCTGCATCTGATCTTGCTCACGGCTGACAATGAAGGAATCAGCTCCAAGATGTTCAATGGCTTCCTTCTTCTTGTTAGGAGAAGTGCTTATGACAGTGACCTTAGCTCCAAAGGCTTTGGCAAACTTGACAGCCATATGGCCAAGCCCACCGAGACCAACCACGCCCACATGAAGGCCAGGCTTGTCCAGACCGAAGTACCTCAAAGGGCTATACACAGTGATCCCGGCACAAAGCAGAGGACCTGCAGAATCAAGAGGCAAAGCCTCTGGAATGCGAACCACAAAATGCTCATCTGCAACCATAAAATCAGAGTAACCTCCATATGTGATAGTCCCATCCACGTACTTGGCTCCATATGTGAGAATATACTTTGAACAGTGATTCTCAAGATCGTCAGAACAACTTCCACAGGATCTGCACGAACCAACCAAACATCCCACACCGACTCTGTCTCCAACTCTGAACTTTTCCACCTTGCTTCCAACTTCCGTCACCACCCCAACAATCTCATGCCTGTATCGAAGTTAATGAGTTTCATTTGCAAAAATTCACAGAGGTTTATATATATATATATAAATATATATTGTGTGTGTGTGTGTGTACCCAGGTACGAGTGGATAGACAGAGAAGCCCCAGTCGTTCTTGAGCATGTGGAGGTCGGAATGGCATATTCCACAGTAAAGGACTTTGAAAGTGACATCTTTGTCTCCGGTTTCTCTGAAAAAACGAAATAGATAGTTCATGTTAGTTAAGGATGAAATGAAGAAGGGAATAATAAGGATGCAAAAGATTGAACAATGAAGGAATTGTTATATGCCTTCGAGAGAAGTTGAAAGGAGAGAGAAGGCCAGAAGAATCCCTAGCAGCCCATCCGAAGGCCTTCCTTGGATGCTCAAACTCAAAAGCTTGTGCTCCGGCCATTTCAACACTTCAACACTTACGCAGACGGCAAGAATATTATGCGGACAGATCAAAGATTATGACAGACAGGAAGAGAGAGAGTGTGTGAGCGAGGTGGAGAGAGAGAGGAGTACGAGGAAGGAATGAAGGTGCTTGCGGGTTATTTATAAATGAGAAGGGGAGGGTTGGTCGTGACGAACTCGATGACGCACACCACTGCAACACGTGGCGTCCGTGCTGACGGGGTTTAGCATTTATACTTTTTGTTTTTGTTTTTTGCCAATAGCAGTTTTTGACAGCATGTGCCAAAAAGAAAAAAGGTCAGCCGTTCCTTGGCACTTGGCACTTGGCACTTGGCAGACACAAACAATTGTGAGTTGGATCCTCTCCAACCAGGGCGCGGTTTCTCTCCACTGAGATTCCCATCCACTGCACCTCCACTTCGGCTCCACGACAACCGTTCGGAGTCGATGGTAAAACGCAAGTGAAATGGATTGTCATGGGTGGCTATAAAATTGAATTTTAAAATTAATTAAAAAGAAGCAAGAGGCTCCTTGGGGATAATAGAGATTCATATGTGGGGCCAACAAAATATCACTAGTACAAAATATTTCTATTCCGAAACAAAATTTATTGGTATTACATAATAAAATTATCCTTTTTTTTTCTAGCAATAAAATCATCCTTTTTAAAACACCATATAAACTACTTTGATTTTGTCCTATTTATATATTACATCATTAAATTTTTAATATGACTATACTATTTTATCTTATATAAATTATTTTTTAATCTTATTTATAAGGTAAAGAAGAAATTTTTTTCGTTCTAGTTATATATCACATTATTAAATTTTCGAGGTGAATACACTATTTTACCTTTCATACAAAGCAAAGTGAAAAAAAAAATTTGGTTCTATTTATATACTCCTCCAATCCTTAATATAGGACCCAATTACTGAGTTGATTTTGGTCTTAAATATAAGACCCATTTTTCATATTTATAAATTTTCTCTAAATTACCCTTATGAATACTCCCTTAATGATAATCAAGTAGAAGAAGGAGATGGGGTATTAAAAAAGATAATTATGGTGTTTGAGAAAAAAAGTGTCACATTTCTTATAATTAACTAACTTATCTAATTTTCTTAATCTAATCAAATTAGTTAAATGGGTCTTATATTAAGAACCGGAGGAGTATCATATCATTAAATTTTTAACTTATATAAACTATTTCTCTAGTTCTATTTATAAAGCAAGAAAGTTTTTTATTCTATTTATATATCACAAGTGACATCATTAAATTCTGAACATGATATATTATTTTACCTTTCAATTTTTTAATAAAAAGATAACTTGATTATGTAAAATGGTAACATTTGGTTATTTATAAATTGTTTTGGAAGAAAATACATTTTTACTGGTCATATTTTGTGGGCCTTACATATCTATCCATGCCACCCCATAAGAGCATGTGCTCCGCCTCTTGCTTCTCTTTAATTTTGGAATTCTGTTTTATAGCCATCCACGACGATCCATTTCAATTGCGTTTTATCATCTGTTCCAAACAATTGTCGTAGAGTCGAAGTGCAGACACAGTGGATGGGAGTGGAGAGAAACCACGCCCAACCAGTATACCCTTCCCTTTCTCTTCCCTTTCCTTACTCTCACTCATTCATGTTTTAGAAAAATAAATATTATTAAAAAATAGATAAATAAATTTAAATAGTTACAATATAATTTGAACAATTCACAACTGTAGTAAAAAAATTGAAACATTTTTTACTCTATAATCATAATTTACGATTGTGAACTATTCAAATCATATTTTGACTATTTAAAATTTTTTTTTTTTTTGTCATAATATTTATCCTCGTAAGATATTAAATATAGAGTCTAGACTATTAAAATTTTGACTCAATAGTTGTGAGGAAAAAAAAAAAGAAAGAAAATAATGGAGGGGAGAATGATGGAAAGGATGGTGGAGAGGATCCGAGTACAAGAACATTTGCGGGTCAAATGGAATTCTACTGATGATCAGGGGGAAAAAAAAACAAGAAGTGGGTGAAATTCTTCTGATAGCTAAGTTCGACCCTGGTAACAAGCTTAAGCTATTTAATGTGAAAATGGGCAATTTTTGCTTTTCATGGAATGCCATCTATTCCTTGTGCCTTTTAGTTGAATGTGAATTCTGTCCAAACTGCCGTATTTTGTACTTCATTATTTAAGGCAAGTCTATCGATCCACAGTTCAGCAGAAGACGACCTCCTCTTCACCAGGAGGAGGAGCAGACGACCTCCTAGTCACATCAGATGGATCAAGACCTGAAAAAAAGAGGTGAGAGGACAAAGAAACTGATTAGCCTATGAAAGTTGCTTTTCTCAGTTCCAGCAATGCCCCCACCCTTTCCTGTTCATTTTTTAATATCTGCAGCATTAGTTGATATATGCTTGGCATAACAGATAAGGACCCATTTAAAATGATTTATGATGAAAAATTTTGTTTCAATTTATATAAAATATATATAAGTGATTTTAAATATGATAACAAACGGGATCTAATTAATTGCACTATAATTCAGGAAATTCCTCTCTCTTTTGTTGTCGGTTTTTGTGTTTAACACACAGCTATCATCAATGATGACAAAAATAATACGATTATGAAATTATAGTTTTTATAATAGATTCTTTTGGTTTTTATTATAAAATCTATTTAACTAATTTGATTAGATTAAAAAATTTAAATAAGTTAGTTAATTATAAGAAATATAACATGTTTTTTTTAAAATACTATAATTTTCTCTCTCAATATCTTTCCTTTTTATCTTGCTTGATTATAATTGAAGAAGTATTAATAAAAGTAATTTAGAAAAAATTAATAAATATAAAAATATATTTTATATTTAAGATCAAGATCAACTCAATAATTAAGTCTTACGTTAAGAATAAAAAACAGTATAATGGTATTCATGATATTGAGTCAGTACTCAACAAACACTATAGCGGATGGGTTGGGCTTTAAGGAAAAAGGCAATGAATAAATGGATCAAACATTCATTTAAGAAATCAAAATATACATTTCCACATGTCCAGATTGAATGCTCGCCCAGAACACAGGTTCGAATTAAAACTCGATAATTACACTTAATTTTCTTCGTTGATCAACTCAAAGATGAGACTTAAATCGTTTAATGAAAATATCCAAATTGATAAATGATTCGGAGATTTTGATTATCTTCGCAAATCAAAATCAAAATACTATAGATTAAAATACAAATATAGAAAATAAATTAAATACAAGCTAGTCAAATCAAATTATAGTTATCATCATGTAAAGACAAATTGAGAGGCTTATAGTTAATTACTAACCTCTTTTTTCCTCTTAATTGCTTTGACACCAGTATCAAATATTAAGTGTTGAATGAAAATATGTTTTCTCTAATATCTCTTTAAACTCTTTCTTTCTGAAAGCTTGTTCTATCTGCTCTAGAGATTCGAGTAAGCTCTACACGTGCCTTATATGAGGATCCTATGCATCAGAAGGTTGTGGATCAGCTGTCTTTGGCAGAGAGGAAGGGGGAGTTCTTATAACCAGGGGTCTTTGAGGTGTGATGTATGAAAAAGCCGGACCAATATATGCAGGGGCTGAGTATGTTGGAGTAGGTGAAACGGCTGTTGTGAGAGGTTGGGTATTCAGAAGACGAGATTGAGTGCTAGAAGGGTAAACAATCTTTTTCTTGGATGGCTTTTTGGGTTCCCAAAGGTGTTGGGTATACTGATAGGTGGTTCTGAAGACATTGTCATAATTTGTTTCTGGAAGCTTATAAGAAGTATACTGTGTAGGTATGGGTATAGAGAAAATGATGTTTCTATAGGTGGAGGTATACAAGGCTGATGTTGCTGCTGGAATTGTTGCTTCAGACCTTCTTCTATGTACCTTAAATCCTTTTGGATTTTTGATAGTTTTTCCTCTTTTCTGTAAAACCTTGGCCCAAAATATCTGTGATCTATGTGAGCTCTCAATTCTGCATCTAATTGCTGAGCCTGTGAAGCCAGCTGATGGTGAAGCTTTCTGATTTCTTCAGAGATATTGTCAACCTGAGTAGTTAGGTCTTTAGTTCTTGAAGAGAGATGATCAAGTTTGGAATCAATGTGATGGAGAAACCTATTCTGGCAAGTAGCATTTTCTGTTTGTCAATTCAAGACTTAGAAATGTTAAGTTCAAATCAGCTTGTGATCGCTCTTAGCTTTGTATCAAGTGTAAAAACTTATTCCTTTTTTGCCTTTACATTCCTAAAAAATATTTTTTTAATCAAATTGATTGAAGAATATCGTTGCTTAACATATATTTGTTTGTGACCGAGATTTAACATATATTAGTTAAATGTTCAGAATTATTAAATTAATCAAACTAACCTCAAGCTCTGCAACTCCAATTGATAATTATTATATTCTAGTGTTATTAATTCACATAATTATTTAATTGAAATATTGGATATGAATATGGGAAGATTTTGATCGATTATTTGGCATGAATTTTTAAAAATTTTAGTTTAAACAATATATCAAATTTATAGTAGAAGAAATGGGTGTTATTCATGTACTATTCTTTGGCTTTTTAGAAATATAAAAAATGTTTACTTAAACCTATAAAAATAATATCAATAAATATGCTTGCTGTACTATATATACTTTACAACATATCATCTCATGCTATCATCGGAATAATTTAAACTAAATTTAAATAAAATACTATAAAGATATTCTTTATCATCATATCCAAGCTAAAGTCTGTTTTATCCCCCCAAATTGTCCAAATCTAGCAAGTTGAGGAATAGATTTCCCATGACTTATTGAGGAATTGTCCTTGTCCCCCTGCTGACTTAAAATAAATATAAAAAAAATTCTATGGACTTGTTCTTAATTAGTTAATTTATAGGTCTATTAATTAATTGCATTAGGATGTTGCATGTGGCTTGAAAGTTTGACCCCACATATCGATTTTGTTGACACTGTTAGGATTCATTCTCGCGTGTGAAATTTGGTATAATTACTAATCTAGCTTCCATCAATAACTTTCAGCAGGCTGCTTTAACTACGCAAAAACACATTCTTAACTATTAGGAGGCAATGTCCGTCTATGTGTAGGAAAGGTTGGATTCGGTATGAGCAATATGATAAGACCTGAAAAAGTATCAACAAGTTTAAATAAGGTTCGAGCAAGTGTGGATAAGTTCCATCTATATTTGGCAAAACTTGTATTTCAGACTTTATTTTGTATCCCTATGTTCTTGTATTATATCATCTCAAATTTTTTAATATAAGATTTACTTAACTAATTTAATTAGATTAAGAAAATTAGTTAAGTTAATTATTTATAACAAATATGAGTTGATTTTTCTAAAGTATCCTTTGTAATTATGATTACCTTTGAATGAAAATAATTTGACATGTATAATCAATAGGGATACTTTAGAGAATGAATCACAAATTTAAGACAAAGTGGATTGAACTTTTCCATTTAGCTCTTATATTAAGAATGTTGGAGGTAGTATATATATAGTAGCTAATCTACAGGCATTCTTATATGCATTTACGTATACATACATGTACTAAACTTGCTCGAGTTTTCCACAGTGGATTCAGAGAGTCAGACGCAGATTTAAATTCAACTAAGTAGGTGTAGAAGCAATAATCCATTTCTTTCTTCCATAATCAAAACAAATTAACATAGGCGAATCTAATAATAATTGGAAAGCAAAAACTAAACCTTCTTGCGTTTGTTTATTCAGACAAAATAAGACATCTAACATACACTCAAATCAATATGAAAGTAGGCTGAATAATACTGATACAAGGAACATTTATAAATGATTTTGCACCCTTCCAAATCAACTCTCATCAGCACTAATTAATTAAACAGCTATTTTTCTTCCCCAAAATCTCGAATCATGCATATGTGGATGCAAATCTCTGAGGTTGGCTTCATCACTGTGTTGCCAATGTCAATCACAAAACGATACCTGACATCAGCTTTAAGGAGTCGCTCCATTGTAGTGTTCACATAATCCATTGGAATTACTTCTATGTCTGGTCTCACGTTATGCTTGGCTGCAAAATCTACCATCTCTTGCGTCTCCTTCATCCCTCCAATTCCACTTCCGGCCACTGTCTTCCTCCCTGCCAATACATACATATATATGTTGTTAGAGCATTTCAGTTTCACCTTTCAATCAATAACATTCTTCAGTTTATTACTATTTAATCATTTTCCATTCATACTCACCCGAAAGTAAAGGAAATACTGGCAATTCCAGAGGCCTCTCAGGCGCACCAACCAACACCAGTTTGCCATTCGGCTTCAGTAGACCAATCAAAGGCAAAAGAGCATGCACTGCAGAAACTGTGTCTATTATGCCATCAAATGTGCCCAACGCAGCCTACACAGATAGGTACCGACAAACATGACGTTGGCTAATTAGATGAACAAGGTCTGATATCTATATATATATATATATATATTAACATATATATATTCACCTGCATCTGATCTTGCTCACGGCTGACAATGAAGGAATCAGCTCCAAGATGTTCAATGGCTTCCTTCTTCTTGTTAGGAGAAGTGCTTATGACAGTGACCTTAGCTCCAAAGGCTTTGGCAAACTTGACGGCCATATGGCCGAGCCCACCGAGACCAACCACACCCACATGAAGGCCAGGCTTGTCCAGACCAAAGTACCTCAAAGGGCTATACACAGTGATCCCGGCACAAAGCAGAGGACCTGCAGAATCAAGATGCAAAGCATCTGGAATGCGAACCACAAAATGCTCATCTGCAACCATAAAATCAGAGTAACCTCCATATGTGATAGTCCCATCCACGTACTTGGCTCCATATGTGAGAATTTGCTCTGAACAGTGATTCTCAAGATCCTCAGAACAACTTCCACAGGATCTGCACGAACCAACCAAACATCCCACACCGACTCTGTCTCCAACTCTGAACTTTTCCACCTTGCTTCCAACTTCCGTCACCACCCCAACAATCTCATGCCTGTGTCGAAGTTAATGAGTTTCATTTTCAAACATTCACAGGGATTTATATATATATATATTGTGTATATGTATGTACCCAGGTACGAGTGGATAGACGGAGAAGCCCCATTCATTCTTGAGCATGTGGAGGTCGGAATGGCATATTCCACAGTAAAGGACTTTGAAAGTGACATCTTTCTCTCCGGTTTCTCTGAAAAAACGAAATAGACAGTTCATGTTAGTTAAGGATGAAATGAAGAAGGGAATAATAAGGATGCAAAAGATTGAATAATGAAGGAATTGTTATATATGCCTTCGAGAGAAGTTGAAACGAGAGAGAAGGCCAGAAGAATCCCTAGCAGCCCATCCGAAGGCCTTCCTTGGATGCTCAAATTCAGCTTGTGCTACGGCCATTTCAACGCTCAAACAGATCACAACGAGAATATTATGGACAGATCAGAGAGTATAGCAGACAGAAAAGAGACAGTGAGAGTGAGCTTAGTGACAGAGAGGAGTAAGTACGAGAAAGGAACGAAGGTGGTGGTGCTTATTAATGAGTGAGAAGGGGAGGGTTGGTGAGTTGGGGTTGACGAACTCGATGTGGTCAGTATATTAAATAACAGCGAGAAAATCCTTTTAATATAGGAAAAATTTCACTGTAGGACCGCAGAAGACAATTAATATCAAAGAGCCTCCAAAACTTTCTGAAACTTCACTGCAGGACCAAGGGACCAATCTGATATTAATTTTTAGAGTGAGATTACAATAATACCCCTCCCTTTTTATTTTATTAAAAAATAAATATTTACCGGAGTTACTGTTCCGGCCACCGGCGCTCAGGTGGCCGCCGTCGGGGTCCGGTCACCGGTGGCCGGAACAGTAACTCCGGCAGGACCTCCGGTGGCCGGAGTTTTTTTTGTTTAAAACAAAGTGGCCAAGGAAGGGTTTGAACCCAGGACCCCTTGGCACACCAAAAGAGTTGTAACCACCAAGCCAAGCAACCCATTCAATCATAAAATGCAAATAAAACTACATATAACAAAATAAACGCAACAGTCCAAATGTAAGTGAACAAGTGAAATTAGACGATTTACAAGTCGAATTCAGAAATTTGCAACAAAAGTTAGGCAATTTACAAATAACATAATAGAAGTCATAACCCAAAATGCAAGTGTTTAAGTGCAAATGAGTAAGTAAAATTTGAAGATTTACAATAAAAGTTTATGGATTTACAACCCAAATTTGGCAAATACAAGAGAATTCACAACTTAAAATGTAAGTGTTTGAGTGTAAGTGAACAAGTGAAATTAGATTATTTACAAGTGGAATTCAGCAATTTACAACAAAAATTAGGCAATTTACAAATAACATAATGGAACTCATAATCCCAAATACAAGTGTTTAAGTGTAAATGAGCAACTAAAATTTGAAAATTTACAACAAAAGTTTATAGATTTGCAAGTGAAATTCGACAATTTCACTTACTCATTTGCACTTAAACACTTGCATTTGGGGTTATGACTTCTATTATGTTATTTGTAAATTGCCTAATTTTTGTTGTAAATTTCTAAATTCCACTTGTAAATCGTCTAATTTCACTTGTTCACTTACATTCAAACACTTACATTTTGGGTTGTGAATTCTCTTGTGTTTACCAAATTTGGGTTGTAAATTCATAAAATTTTATTATAAATCTTCAAATTTCACTTGCTCATTTGCACTTGAACACTTGCATTTGGGGTTATGACTTCTATTATGTTATTTGTAAATTACCTAATTTTTGTTGTAAATTTCTAAATTCCACTTGTAAATCGTCTAATTTCACTTGTTCACTTACACTCAAACACTTACATTTTGGGTTGTGAATTCTTTTGTGTTTACCAAATTTGGGTTGTAAATTCATAAATTTTATTGTAAATCTTCAAATTTCACTTGCTCATTTGCACTTAAACACTTGCATTTGGGGTTATGACTTCTATTATGTTATTTGTAAATTGTCTAATTTTTGTTGTAAATTGCTGAATTACACTTGTAAATCGTCTAATTTCACTTGTTCACTTACACTTAAACACTTAAATTTTGGGTTGTGAATTCTCTTGTGTTTGTCAAATTTGGGTTGTAAATCCATAAACTTTTATTGTAAATCTTCAAATTTCACTTGCTCATTTGCACTTAAACACTTGCATTTGGGGTTATGACTTCTATTATGTTATTTGTAAATTGTCTAATTTTTATTGTAAATTGCTAAATTACACTTGTAAATCGTCTAATTTCACTTGTTCACTTACATTCAATAGTTTACAAAGCTAAGTGGTACAAAATTCCTCATGACTTTATATCATGTATAAATAGTATTTCTAATTTTTTTAGTAGTTTGAAGTAGAAAAACTGTTTGTACTATCTTTGATCCTTAATATAGATTTAATAATTTTAATTCATTATAATCTTTGTAACTCCAAAGTATCAATACAATATCATTGCAATCCATGCACAAAGAATGTTACAACAATTACCTTCATATAACTAAATCTCAACTTACAAACTCAATAATCTTATACTTCCTTCCTTAAAATCATACCTTACCAATAAAATCTTTATTCACAAATAGCACATACCAAAACAATTATATCACTTCAAAGGGGGGCAAATTACTATATAACATACTCTCTATTTTACTTGAATCCTTAGTGGTCAAATAGGTTTTATAAAAACCAATTTCATCATATCACAGTAACTATCAACAGTAAGCATCACAAGCTCAAGATTATACACATATTGATTAACCAACTTCCCTACATACAATCACAATTTTTCCATCAAATAATTAATCAATTTGAGGTATGAAAATCTCAAAACACCTTTATTTATCAATAGTGGCAGTTGTTGACCTTTGTTGTCACTATCATGCCAAAAAAAAAAACTTCAATCATTCGGTACTTTTCACCCATAAAAGATCATCATATAGTTGGCCAAGTATAAATGCTTACTTCAAAAGATATGAACCCATATCACTAGAAAAAAAAGATGAATTAGCAGCGGTACATTTTTAGCGGTTAAATAAAACTGCTACAAATTTAGAAATTTCTAACAGTTTTCACACAAACCGCAAGAAATTTGTAGCACTTTGATCAGAAACCGAGTGGGTCCCACACATTTCTAGTGGTTAGGAGTAAACCACTAGAAAGTGACCGCCAAAATTGTTCACGCGTTTTGGCGGGAAGTTGGTGCCATACTTCCAGCGTTTAATTTCTAGCGGTTTTGCTGCTAGAACCGCAAGAGAATGCAAATCATTGTTCTATTCTTTTGCGATTACTAAACTGTTACTAATGCAACCAACTTTCTAGCGGTTTCTCTTAAAATCACTAGAAATTTTTTTATTTTTCCCAAGGAGTTGTGACACGTTGTTGAATGGAGGTGGTAGGGGAGTGTAACAGCTAGAAATTTCTAGCGGTTTTATTTAAACCACTAGAAAATTCTAACGGTTTCATGAAAACTGCTAGAAAATCATGGCCTATATATAACCCCACCGCGTCATTTTTACTATTTTGGTGAATTTTGAAGCGAAGTTCTATCGAATTCTCTCCACGAAATATATCCAGATCCAAATCCAGTTCCAGGTCCATATTTTCATGTAAGAATAGTAATTTATTTATAAATAAATTTTTGTTTTTATTTTTATTTTATTTATTTTATTATATTTTTTATATTAAGTTAATAGACTAACTTAATTTAGTTAGAGTTAATAGAAATTTTTTTTTATAGTAGCTAGTTTTTATAGAGTTAATAGAAGTAGTTTTTTTTTATGAGTTAACGGCAAATTTAAATATAGGAATATCTGTTTTTTAATTAATATTATTTGATATTATTATTTAGAGCTAATACAAATAATTATTATTTGATATAATTATTTATTTTTAATAATTGTTAGTTGTAAAATATACTTTTCATTACAATTGCTATTTACGATTATTAAGATGAGTCGTCAAGTAGGGAAGGAGCCGATTGATCTTGAGAGAGTAGGACCCAGCGAGAATCGTGGTGGTGGGGGTCATGATACTGGTGAGCCATTCCCGAGCATTCATGACTACGATCTGAATGAAGAGGATATCTTGAACTTCATGGAGCATGATGATATCCAGGGACTTGCTAATTGACATCATTGAGTTAAGTTACCAGTTTTTCACCGTAACTCTGTTTAAGTGTTCCTGGGCAAATAAGACAACTTCACGGGGACTTGCTACTGACCACTTGGGCATCACCTCTGTTTAGACTTATTCATACGGGGAAATCTGAAGATGATGGACCATATATTCTTGCTTCCGAGGCACACCAAGTTTACTATGTCGGACGAGAAATATAAAGACTGGAATATAGTCGTTCAAGCCACGAGATCTTTATGATATGGGTGATGGTGACATTATTTATGACAACGAACCCTTCTAACCCTCGAATTTTGAAAACTTCTTTCTTCAAGGAGACGATAATTTGGCAATTATTAGGCATATGTTTTTTTCTTAAATTATTTAAATAATTAACTACTAATTACTAATTTTTTCTAAATATATTATAATTCTAACATAATTTTTTTTAATATTTCATTTCATGCAGGATGATGATCAAGAATAGCAATTTCAAAAATTTTTATCATTCAAAAAATTCGTCTTTCATAAATAAATATGTATAAATTAAAATTGGTTCAGTTTTTTAAAAAGTAAAAATTATAATTTATAACGTTTATAATGTAAAACTGCTACAAATATTAACAGTTATATTATACGCTAGAAAATACAAGGCCGCTACAAAATGCATTAAAATGCTGCAAAAAAACCACTACAAATATCTCGCTGATCACTATAAATACCACATCATCTCTTCATTCATTTACCTCATCTCTTTTCCTTCCTCTCTCCTTCTTCTTTATAGTTCTCTCTTTTTTTCTTACTCTCTAATATGGTGGTTTTTTTCTCTTCATTATATGGTAAGGTGATTTTCATTTTATAAGTCTTAATATTTTTTATTTGTCTTTATTTATAATTTACTAACATATTTATTTCTCTTTTTCTTTCAGATTTTTCTTTTTCACATTTGTCATACTCTCCTTAACTGATTCAAGCACTTCTCAACATAACAATTTAGGTTCAATTTTATAAACTATCTTATCTTCAATTCAATTATCTTATTAAATTAAATTTACTTCATTTGACACAATCATGACTTAATTACTTATTATTTATTACAAAATTCAAATGTATAACATGTAATACATTGGTAATTATACATATTAACAAAAATTCTCTAATATAATCTACTTAATGGTTTTTAAATTTCTAATATTATATTTTTTAAAACCAAACATCTTAATTTATTTTTTTCGCTTGGAATAAACTTTCTAGCGTTTCCCAAACAGCTAGAAAATGAAAAAAAATAAAGATGG